TATCCTCCCCTGTCTGTATGTTCAACCTTTTATGTTTGACTTTATTATTAGTTAACCAGCATCATGTACTATGTCCCCACTGTATCTATGCATTTCCTTTTTTTTTGGTTGGAGTCTCACTCTGTCACCCAAGCTGGAGTACAGTGGCTCGCTCACAGCCACCCCAGTGTCGACCTGCTGGGCTCCGGCAATCCTTCTGCCTCAGCCTTCCTAGTAGCTGGAACTACAGGCACATGCCCCCATGTTTGGCTAATTTTTTACATTTACTGTAGCAATGAGGTCTTGCCAAGTTGTCCTGGCTGGTCTTGAACCCCTGGACTCAGGTCTCTTCTTCCTTGGCTTTACTGTGACATACACGAGAGCAAACAAACAAGAGCATTCAGGTGCATCACGTATACAGAGATAGCACCTAAGAGCTTGACATGTAAACTTAATAAATTAGGAAAAAATTAAGTTTCCGATGAGGTTTTGTTGATGACCAGCCTTTTTCCAAAATCTGCGCAAATAATGTGTTGAAATGTGGACTTTGCCCCCAAGCCTGGTGTCTTCCTGGTTAGCCAGGCTTCTCCGGAAAGTCTATTGCTCCTTCAAAAATCTTTGTTCTCCCTGAAGCACCGCACAGGGTAAAGAACTTCTATCTCTCCCAAGGGCTGCCAATTTCCTGGAGCACGAAAGACTCCTGGAGTGCCACTTCTCAGCCAAGGACTTCCTGAAATAACCCTCCGTGGCGGTTTATTTTCTGAAAAGTTTTTTGAGCTTTTTTTTCTCTTGAAACAAAATTGATATATAATAAATGTAGAATGTGTAGAAATTAAAGAAACCCAAATTATGTTGTCTAATTTTCCTAATTTTCTTATATATACACATACACACAAAAATATTTACAAACATGAGTTCATAATCATTTTTGATACATACTGTTTTGTAACCCACTCCCCCCCCCATATCAATAAATATTCTTCTACAACAGGATTCTACAACTTACCTCTAAGAGATCATACAAACATCACCTGAGGGGTCAGGATTTTTTCAAAGTGCATACACTCATAGTCCCTGTCCACCACTACTACCATTGAGAATGACCGAACCCAGGACATCAGTGTTGGTGATGAGACTATGCCACTGTGTGGAGTGTGAGAGCAGAAGAGGTAAATGAGACCCACTGTCCTAGGACACAGAGTATTTACCTTACCCTTGTTGTTGACATCTCTTTCTTTTCTTTTTTTTTTTTTTTTTGAGGTGGAGTCTCACTCTGTCACCCAGGCTGGAGTGTGGTGGCACACTCACGGCCACCCCAGCATCGACCTGCTGGACTCTGGCGATCCTTCCGCCTCAGCCCTCCAAGTAGCTGAAACTACAGGTGTGCGCTACCACAACCGGCTAATTTTTTAGTTATTGTAGAGACGAGGACTTGCCAAGTTGCCTGGGCTGGTCTCGAACCTGCGGGCTCAGACAATCCACTCACCTCGGCCTCCCAAAGCGCTGGGTTACAGACTGAGCCACCAAGCCTGGCCTGTTGTTGACATTTCATGAGCATCTTTATTGGCAGCAAATACTCTGGAGACAGGAGCGCATAGTGGTTCACGTATACATGACCTGTGTTCACGTTCTATCTCCTTATTTATTACCCATTCTGGGTCTCAGTTTCTTCATCTTTAAAGTGATTAAGACGCTACCTCAAGGATTTGTTGATAAGATTAAATAACTTAATACACATAATTTTTAAGTCTACTGGTAAGTTACTCTGAACATTATAAAAGCTAGTACCCAACTGTAAATGGTCCTATTAAAAAAAAAAGATAATATGACAATCTAATAATAAATCTTAAAAGTGAAAAAAGTACTGGGGACAAATGGTGATGATTGCACAATATGTAGCTAATATCACTAAACTGTGCACTTAAAAATGGTTAAGATGGTGAAATTTTATATATATTTTACTGTTAAAAAAATTTAGGAAAAGGTGGAGCTCCTAGTTCTATGGAATGAAAATGTCCTGTGGTAAGACAGGCAGGTCAGGATAACTGTTGCTAACAACTGTGGCAGCCACTGTCCTGTTGCCCTCTGCCCCTCCTCTGACATGGCACAGAGTCCAATTTGCTCAAGTTTGCCACAAATGTTTGCTTATCTGGATTGAACTCAGTTCAATTCCAGCATCAGATTCTTTTCAGATGATTCTTCCCATTTCCAGTTTTACCGTGTGTCCTGTTGTCATGTTTTTGAGAGACAGGGTCCTGCTGTGTCGCTCAGGCTGGAGTATGCTGGTGCCTTCACAGCTCACTGCAGCCTCTAACTCCTGGGCTCAACGGCTCATTTTGCTGTCTCCCCAGTAGCTGGGACTACAGGAGCACACTACCACACCTGGCTATTTTTAATTTTTTTTTTGTAGAGACAAGGTCTTGCTGTGCTGCCCAGGCTGTCTCAAGTGATCCTCCTGCCTCAGTCTTCCAAATTGCTGGGATTACAAGCATGAGCCACTGAACTCAGCCCGTATTGTCTTAAGATTGTGATAGGATTAGACAATTTCAACCAACCTTCTTAAAATATTAAGTCTCTATTCCTGGCACTGATGTATTTCCCTCCAAATCCCATTGGCAGATTTGATACTGTAAAAGGGTCTCGTTCTGGGGTGTTTTGTCAAAAACAGTTCTGCGATTGTTTTCTCCCTTTCTCAATGATTAAAATAATGACAATGATATATGTAGATAAGATGTTTTTATGTCTTTTATAAGAAAAAGGCAAGGGCAGGAGTGGATCTAATTTTCTGGGGGCCTAGAACAGAGATAAAATTGGGAAGTTCTCCATAAGAAAAACTAATATAAAATGACCAAAACAAAATTAGATATGAATGTGAGAATTAATTCAGAATAACAACAGAAATCACGACAAGTAACTGGAGACGTAGAGATTCAGGCCCTATTCTTCTAAGGTCTCTTGGGGCACTTTGTCAGGAATGCTTCTTGGTTGAAAACTGGCTTCTCCTCTACGTGACACTCCAATTCCATCATTCTTGATACTCGCGAGAGCCCTGCAGCTTAACCTTCACTACCACCGTACAAATCTTCCTCCAGATAAGGAATAGGAGGGCAATGTGAATGTAATCAACTTGCTGAAAGCCTCAAATTTTAAAGTAATCTGAATCACACTGGTCTTAATTTACAGGGAGTATACTAATTTCCTATTTGTGTTGCCACATATTATCACAAATTCAGTGGCTCAAAACAACACAAACCTATATCATCTTACAGTTCTAGATGTCAGGAATCCAAATCCGTTTTACTAAGCTAAAGTGAAAGTGACAGCAAAGCTGACCCTTCAGGCGGCTCTGGGGGAGAATCTGCTTCCTTTCTTTCCTAGCTTCTAGGGTTGTAGTTTTTCCAGAGGTAGGGCAAGACAACAGGTGCAAGGAGTATCCAAGCAGCTGTAGCTGGGAGGTGACACCACAGGAAAGCAGGCACCAGCACCAACACCTCCAAGAACAGGTAATATGCAGAGATCCAAGCAGGCTGGTGGCACCAGGACAACATCTCAGAAAATGAACTTCAGGCAACACCTCAGGAAATAGTTAAACTTTAGGCTCTAGATTGGGGTTTCAGGGAAGGACTTTGCCACTGAAAGAGAATTCTAGTTCCCAGAACACAGAAATAAATAGCCGATAGAGGAACCTAGGCCCTAAGGAACAAGGTAGGAATCTAGTTATCAGCACTGGGGTTCAAGATAGAGCTGGACAAGTATCAAGGATGAGTCATGCCAGATTCTGGAGTGCAAATCTTCCTCTAGATAAGAGGAAGAACTTCTTCAGTGCTGTTTCCTAGAGATCAAACCTCAAAGCAGATGTGTAAATGGAAAGAAAGTCTAATAAAACTTAATTCTGATGGAAAAAGGCAAAAATGAACACTCCTGTGATTTAATCTACAAAACAGCCTAAGATATAAACAATTACTGACAACGGGAAGGAAAATAATTTAATATGCAATATAATTAAATCCATGGAATATTTACTTATATAATAAGATTTGCTAAACACCATCACTGGTAAGGAGAATAGCAGGAAGCACTAACAAACAAGCCTGAGAACACAGGTAAGGTGGTAAAGAGCAAAGACTCTGGAGCCAAATTCCCTGGCTTCAACCCTGGTTAATACATGGAAATATTTCATTTAGCAAATTATAGCTGGCCCATGTATGAACACAAGCGTGGTATCTGGGAAACTAGGATATCTGAATTCTAAACTCAAAATCTTGCTCCGAATCTCACTATCCATGTTATGTTGGAAAACCTGCTCAAACTTTTGAGGCCTCAGGTTACAGATCTGTAAAATTGAGAGGGTTGTGGTTTAAGATCCCTTAAATGTCAACTTTAAAGTACTTTCTTGGAAATGTTTCAAATCTTCATGCTCTTCAAAGTACATCCAGATTTTCTCCTTACTGTACAGTCTGAACAACTTTGGGAATCACTGTGTTTTCTTAGTTCATATAGTAATCTTGATCTAAATTTTATTATTTTCATTTTGGAAATGAGGAAATAGAGACCTAACATGGTTAAATAAGAGTTTGCAAAACTGGGATTAGATTTTAGTTCTGCCAATTTTAAAGTTCTGCATTTTCTACTTTTCTGTATGTTATCCTGACAGTAGACTTGACTTCCACACAGCAGGCCAGGATCCCAAGCACTCAATATCTAGATGTTTACCCATGTAGCTCTCACTTTGCTGTTTCTAAGTCTATAGAGCTAGCGTTTGTTCAGTTCTCGATTTCAGCACTCCTTTTTCTTGTTATTTATGGTGTTGTCAGCCCATATGGTCTGACTCCCATTTTTTACTCCTGTTAAATGTCTCCTACGTGTCTGTTTTCTAGCAGTAACTCCTGACTTTTATCTGAAATAAAATTGTATGCACTTGCTCATTTCATCCACTTTATGATAAAAAAATGAACTATGTGTGAAGTTGGTGCTAAAATTATAATAAACAGAAGATGAAACAAAGACCAGAGAAGCAAAAATTCCAGTAATTGTTTTCTTTTTCTTTTATATTAGGTTTTTATGAGACAAGGAAGATGATTTTCATGTCTAACCACTGGAACAATCTAAATCACATTAACATTAGAATCACTATCATTTCTAAGGGAAACTCTAAATATTTTAATGGAAAAATAGTATTTAATATTCAGTTTTCAGAATATAGAAACATCTTAGAAAAACTGCATGACACCAGTGGATGTATATTTGAGGTAATAAACACTGTTTTTTGGGTCTGTTATACATCAACTTCTTAAGTTACGAATTCCACACTTGTAAAATACAGTTCAGTGCTATGATAGTTATGCAAACAGATGTAAACTCTATTACTAGATGAACTTGAAAAGATAGAATGCTTATTATGTGTTATTAACACAAATGCCAACAAAAAAATAGGTGAAGCACAGTAACAAAAACATAATTATCAAAATAGATGTCTTATTACAGTAAACCATAGTATTATCAGGCTTAAAAAAAGAAACTAAGATCACTGTTTGTTCTTTCTGACTCTTCCCTATAAATACAGCAACTAATTCTGATCAATTATCCTTATTTACTCTTCCTCTGTACAAATCTGCTGATACTGAACACTATTTTCAAATACATCATCATCTGATTAAATAGATTATTATTATTGAGAATTCATCAAAGTTTTCAAGGCTATTAATGGTTTCATGCAACTTAAAAAATATAATTTTCGATGTAACTGGCTAATGAGTTTTACCTTTTATTGGTGAATAGCCACCACACACCAATGTTATTATTGATATGTAAAATGGTATTTAACATGCTTCTATTTTTCTGAAGAGCTGGAATACAGACTTTACAATATATCTGAAACATCATCAAATATTTTGATAATTTCATTACAATACAACCTATGTATGGCATTAAAAAAATATTGACCAGTCATGATGCATTTTACTGAAATGAATTTTAAATTTTCTAGAGGCTAACATGATAACAAATCCATCATCTTGACAGCATATCACAATCTTCTTTCATAAAGTTCACAGGTCTTTCTTGTTGCCTTTTCCTAAACGATCCTGTAAGAAAAAATATATTACTTATATTAGTACAGCAAAGTGTGAGAAAGGATTCATAGATTATGACAAGGACTTGTAAAAAATATTTTCTCTTCTATGTATAATTATGAGAATAATCAAATGTGGAAAAAAGATTGAGAAAGTCTCAAATTTTAAAAAATATAAAGTTTGTGGTTTCATTTAGAGGGGAAAAATAACACTCTTGATAAGTTCATCTTTTTCCTTGCCTTAATCTATTTTGTTTTTGTTTCACCAGCTACACCAGGAAAACATAATTTCTGAAATTCCCCTATTGCATGCCCAATTACGATTTCTGGCAAAGGGAAGAAGGAAGGAAAGCAAAAATCCAGCTGGGGTGGCTTTGTTTTTGTCCTTCAGATATTTGCCAACAGAACTGACTTCTAAATTATATTCTGTTGATCACATTATAAAGATGACTCTAGTACATCAGTTAAAACTGGAGGAAAACGGAATAGAAATTAATCTTAAGAGATCACTTGTACTAAGGAAGTAAATGTCTGCATCAAGAAAAATATATAATGGACTCGCAGAGTATTATTGCTTGTACACAGGAAGTTCATCATGCTCTTGTTCAGGCTGATCATATTTTCAGAGTAACTTTCAGAGTAACTTTCGTAATAATAAACAGCTAAGTAATTAGTAAAGATTAGAAAAGGTATTTTGAATGATAACATACTACTTTCACACATTATACACATCTCACCCCTTTCAATAAAAATCCAAGCTTTAATGAAGCTGTTCTTATGGATAAGTCCCTTAAGTAATGGGTGATTTTCCAAAATGAAATTTAAAAACTGGCAGGTGCTGATAGGTTTATGCAGTCAATAATCTCTAGTGAAATGTTTTTTCTTTTTTAGAAGAGAGCCAGGGTAAATAAGGAAAGGGAAAGACCACATGTTTTGAAGGGACTGTTTTCTAATGTTTATTTAGTGCCTACAGGGAGGGGACCAGATGGGGAAATCCAATGGATTTAAAAGATGCAAAGTGGGATCTGTTTACAGTTAAGAAACTAGCTTTTCCCTCTTTAACTTTTGTTTCCTTAATATTGTAACAATCCTTTGTTTAATGACTATTTCACTGAAAGTATGTCAACTATGTAACATTGAGAAAGCTAATAAGTTTCCCAAATAACTTTAGGATATAATTCAATTACTAAGGCTGATTTGAAAACAGAAGTAAAATTCATGAGGACAATTTGATACACCTTTTTACTGTAGATGACCTACAGCTATTTTTTGCTTCTCAAAAACGGTTCAGAAGGTGAACATTAAAGCTCAACAGTTACTTTTAAGAAAAGGAGAACTAGCTGGGCTCGGTGGCTCAGCCTATAATCCCGTGCCTTTGGGAGGCCGAGGTGAGTAGATTGCCTGAGCCCACCAGTTCGAGATCCACCTGGGCAGCGAGACCTCATCTCTACAATAAATCAAAAAATCAGCCAGGCATGGTAGTGGACGCCTGTAGTTCCGGCTACTTGGAAGGCTGAGGCGGAAGGATCGCTGGAACCCAGCAGGTCGAGGCTGCAGTGGCCGGGAGCGGCCACTGCACTCCAGTCTGGGCGACAGAGTGAGACTCCAACTCAAAAAAAGAAAAGGAGGAACTCAAATTATTCTACCAAAAAGATGCCTACACACGCATGTTTATTGCAGCATTATGCGCAATAGCAAAAACACGGAACCAACCATGCTGCCCACTGAAACTGGACTGGCTTAAAAAAAAAAAAGTGATACATATACACAATGGAATATTATGCAGCCATAAAGAAGGACAAACATGGACTTTGCAGCAACTTGGATGGACTTAGAGTCTATCATACTCAGTGATCTATCACAGAAACAAAGAACTGAGTACTACATGTTCTCACTCATAAGCGGCCCTTGAACAATTATCATAACACTATAAGAAAGGGATTGGCAGTAGTGGGAAACTGCTAGGGGAGGGGGGCACACCTCATCAATGAGGGTACATCTATATACCTAACCCTGAATTTTACCCCACATCTTTAACATAAAAAAATTTTTAAAAAAAGAAAAAAAAAAAGGTTCTCATTAGCATTTCATAGTCATATAGAGCTTTTCTTGATTAAAAACATGTATTTTCTTACATAGAATATAGTTTAATGTTCATAAGGTATTATAACCCTCATTTAAGTAATGAAGTAGTCAAGATGCATGGATGTCCAATGATTCATCTGTGGGTTACAGATTTTTTTTCCTTCAGAGGTATTATAAGAAACTGGGTTTATAGGTGATGAGAGAGTAGAAACACCAAACAGGATGGTAAGGTACCTTAAGGATTAGCAACAACAGAAAACCACTACCATTTCTTCGACTTTAGGGACAAGGGTTATAGAACCCAGGAGCAAAGGTCAGTAAGGCTGAAGTTGCCCAGTGGAAACTGGGACCAAGGAGGGAAGAAATTGAAGCCCGGAAGGAGAAAGCACTTAAAGCAGAGAGAATAGGAAAAATTCCCGGCTTCCTTCTTTCTCTGCCTTCAGTTTTCTTTCTTTCTTTCTTTTTTTTTCAGTTGGAGTCTCACTCTGTCGCCCAGACTGGAGTGCAGTGGCTGCCTGCAGCCTCGACCTGCTGGGCTTCGGCGATCCTTCTGCCTCAGCCTTCCAAGTAGCTGGAACTACAGGCGCGCACTACCACACCTGGCTAATTTTTTGTTTTATTGTAGAGATGAAGTCTCACCAAGTTGCCCAGGCGGGTCTCAAAATCGCAGGCTCAGGCAATCCACTCACCTCAGCCTCCTAAGGAGCGGGATTACAGGCTGAGCCACCGAGCTTGGATTTGCCTTCAGTTTTCTACTAGTGGCTCCCATTGGCTAACCTTGCCCAGAAGTCAGAAAGCAAGGGCGCCTGGGAAATGTATCTTCCTGACATACAGAGTAGAGCAGTGGTGGGAGAAGAATGGATCTAAGAACACATGCTCCAATGACCAGCAAGTGCCAATGAACATAGTGGTTAACGATGGAGGTTCTAGAGAAAGATTTCCTGACTTTGAATGCTATCATTTTCTAATTCAGTTACTTTGGGTAAATTAAATAACACCTCTGGCTCTCAGTTTCCTCATTCACGAAATGGGGACAAATATTTTAACTTACTAGATTGTCATGGCCAGTAAACACAATAACATGTATGAAGCTATTAGTCAAGTCCTTAGTCCAGAGCACACTCTCAATAAATGTCATCTATTAAGTATTTCAAACACTGGATACAAGCAGAAATTAGATCAAAGTCTAAATGTGAAATCAAACAAGGCCCAACTCACAGCATGGCACTTGGTATAACTGGGATGAGTCCTTTTCCAAGAAATAGATGTAGTAACTAATTTCTTGAGAAGGAATTACTCTTAAAAGCTTTCTGTATCTTTTTCTAAAAATGTCAAAGTTCCAAGCTGAAGGTGGCTTTTTTGGGGGAAGGACATGCATTGAGGGAATCTCAATGTTACAAATATTCTCCAGGATTAAGAGAACCATTAGCAGTTACCACAATGGACACTTCAGCAATGGACACTGGCTATAAGAAACTGAGGGCATATTCCTGGTTTTCCTTTTCTCATCCAAGGATCAAACATGTCTGACACTGTGGCAAAGTCCACTGTGTGGATACTCATTCTTTCTGAGTACGCCTTGACCTCACAAAGAGGAGGAAAAATGTTGCGCTTTTAGGCAATAGGTCTCTAAAATGACTTCTCCAATTCCCATGGTGAAACTTGAAGCTGCCGTGGAGTAAATCTTATTATGCTCTGGTGAGGTCATCAACTTCATGATCTGTTTTAGAGATGGGGAAGGAGTGGTCTTGCTGAAAATCTACCTACTTCAGACCACGTGAACTGAGCCCTCCGTGTCCTAGGATTAGAGTTCACAGGGTGTCCTCCCTTCTCTGGCTGCTTTGTCTTCTTTTTCTTGCTATTGTCAAAGGGCTAGTCAAATCAAACATGCAAACCAACTGGGACTATCAGATTACCTATGTGCTTTGAATTGTTTGGCCCTAAACCAAGGCTGAAGTGGCTAGTTGAGAGTAAGTCATTCTTTCCCCAGAACTTCTACAGAGGAAGTACTACTGATGATGGTGAAGATAATTATCGTAATAACAGTAATTTTTTGAGTGTTGTTTACTAATGGCCAGACATAGTGTTAAGCACCCTACATATTATATTAATTCTCAACAATCCAGTGAGCCAGGCATTATTATTGTTCCAATTTTACAGATTAAAGAAGTAAACCCCAGATCGATGATATAATCTGCTTAAGATAAAGCTAGCATGAGGCAAGCCACAGATATTCTAGGTATGTCTAACTCCAAAGTCTGTTAGTATAGTGCTTGCTTGCCTAGAACCAGGCACAGTTCTGGGCCCTGGAAATATAATGACCACTAAGTGTAAGGGAATGAGTAAGTGAAATAAATAACTGTAATTGGTAATAATAAAAAAAGTCATTACTAAAAGTCACAAAGACTAAAAGCCAAATTATGAAAACAAGCCCAATCGGTCTGTCTTGGGCAGAACTGCGGGGAGGGCCAAGGCTGCTTCTGGAATGGTCCCTCCCCAGTTCTCCCCACACATGATCAAAGTATGGCTGGGAAATGAAACCAGGTTAGTGGCTGGCAGCAGAAAAGAGGTGGGGAAAGACAAGCACAACATAGATGGATGTTTGGACCAACTCTTGCTTGACTATAGAGTAAGAGAAAGAAAACCTATGGCCCAGATCTGACTTTGTGGCTTTAACAGTAAAAAAATTTCTTTCCAATTCCATCTTTCAAATCAACTTTTGAAATTACATCATATATTTGAATGCTACAGTCTTTGTCCTAACATGTTTAAAACACTGGACAGAAGGAATAGTTTTATGTGAAACTTGAATTTTTGGCCTCATTTTGGCAAGGATATGGCAAACATTCCAAATAACAAAACTCAACTTTTCTAGAAGCAGTTTGTTTTCCAGTGCTGCTGTTTCTGTGGCTTACTTCTTTTGTTTGAAACTTCACAGAAATTAAGAATGCTGTAAGTTAGTATGTCAGCGATTCCTTTTGTTATAACTACCTTGTATTTTCCTGCAATGTTCTCTTTACCCTCTAGGTAAAAGTCTAGCTTCTTTAAATAATTTAACAAAGCCGGAATAAAGCACATCCCCTTGATTAAGGAAGGGCAAATAAACCAAATAATTTAATTAGGTAATTACTATTTCAAAAAATTTAGGCCCATACAGGTCATGTCACGTACCTGAAGTTCTGAGTGTTCTTTCAGGAGTCGATCGTATTCTTTTGAAAGTCTCTCTGATTGCACCTTCATTGTCATCACATCGTTTTGTGCCTTAGAAAGGGCTATAAAGAATTGAGCTTAATTTTTATTTTGAAATAATTTCAAATTTACAGAAAAGTTGCAAGACTTAGAGAACTAATTAGTCTTTACTCAAATTCACTGTTAATGTGCTACATTTTATCATATTCTCTCTTCATATACACATTATTATTTTCTTGAATCTTTTGAGGATAAGTTGTTCACATCATGTTCCTTTACTATTTAATATGTCATTGTGTACATACTTCCCAAGAACAAAATATCCCCTAATATAACCACAGCACAGTTACCAAATTTAATATCAATATAATACTTTTAATCTAAGATCCATATTCCAGTTTTGTCAATTGTCTGAATTATGTCCTTTTTAGCATTTTTTTCCCACTTCTAGTCTAAGAAACAGTCCTGGATCACATATGGGCATTTAGTTATCATGTCTCTTTAGTTTCTTTTAATCTGAAATAATTCCTCATCATCCCCACAACCTTCATCCCCCCATCTTTGGTGACACTGACATTTTTAAGAATATAGGCCACTTTTCAGATATTCTTCATTTTGATTTTGCCTGATGACTCCTCGTGATTCACTTCAGGTCATGCATCCCACTTACACATGAATAAGATATGAGTGACGCTGACTGCTTCTCAGGGCACCCAGAGGCCCAACACATCCACAGGTCTTCTGACCTTTACCGGCTTTTTCACTTTATAGTTACTATTTTGTATTACCCTTTGTAACTAAAGAAGCAATGCATGGGAAAACAGTTTAGACTGTGCAAACGTCCTGCTCCTCAATATAAAGACACATAAAAAATGATTACATATTGGGCTTTGTCTACCAAGGAACTAATTATCAAGTCAGCAGATTCATGTCCTTAGATAGAAGTAAAACAAAACAAAACAAAAAACAAATATATATAAAATTTTAAATTAAATTTAAGTTAAATTAAATTTAAATTGTCATGCATAATAGTTAGCCATACTGGACAGCACAGTTCTATTATTTCTTCCATATTCCTTCTACAGATCCATAATTCTAAATTAGGTATCAAACATTAATTTTGACAAATTTGTGTGTGTATGTGTTGGAATTTCACTGATGCCCAGGCTAGAGTGCAGTGGCAAGCTCATGGCAACTGTAGCCTTGACCTGCTGGACTCAGAGAATCCTTCTGCCTCAGCCTTCCAAGTAGCTGGAACTACAGGCATGTGCCACCAAGCCCATGCTAAATTTTGAATTTATTGTTGAGACGAGGTCTCACCAAGTTGCCCAGGCTGGTCTCAAACTCCTGGGCTCAGGCAATCCTCTTATCTCCGCTTCCCAAAGTGCTGGGATTACAGGCATGAACCACTGTATCCAGCTAATTTTGACAAATTTAATGTGATACCACTGACTGACCTACAATGGTATTTTGTGTGTGTGTGTGTGTGTGTGTGTGTGTGTGTGTGTGTGTGTGTGTGTATGACAGGGCCTTGCTCTGTTGCTCAAGCTGGGTACAGTGGCTCAGCTGAAGCTCACTGCAGCCTCACACTCCTGGGCTCAAGTAATTCTCTGCCTCAGCCTCCTAAGTAGCTGGGACTATAGGGATGTGCAACCATGGCTGGCTAATTTTTAAAGTTTTTGTAGAGACGAGGTCTCACTATGTTATCCAGGCAGATCTTGAACTCTTGGCCTCAAGCAGTCCTCCTGCCTTGGCCTCCCAAAGTGAAAGCCACTGCATCTGGCCCACAATGGTGATTTTAAGAATGTTGGTGTTATGATCTAAATGCCTGTGTCCCCGATTCTTTTGTTGAAACCTAATCCCCAATGTGATGGCATCAGGAGGTAGGAGTGGGAGGTGATTGAATCATAAAGGTAGGGACCTCAAGAATGGGATTAGTGAGTGCCCTAATGAAAGAGGCCCCAGAGAACTGCCTTCCCCTTCCATCTGTAAGATGGCATCATCAATGAACCAGGAGATAGACCTTTGCCAGACACTGAATTTTGCAGTGCTTTGATCTCAGACTTCCCCACCTCTAGAACTATGAGAAATAATGTAGTTTATAAGTGACAGTCTATAGTCATCGGTTACAGAAGCCTGAAGGTACTAAGACTGTTGGTCAGGAGCTTGTCTTAATATTAAAAATGACTTAAACTTCTGACATGAATAAATTACTTAAGAAATTTAATCCATCTTAATATTAACCCATTTCTTCCTTATCAGAAGATGATACAGGCAAGGATCAGTGGCTTATGCCTGTAATCCCAGCACTTTAGGAGGCCGAGGCAGGAGGAAAACTTGAGCCCACGAGTTTGGGACTCCGTCTCTATACAAAATATAAGATCAAATAATAAAAAAGTTAGAAAACCACCTGTACAGCCTATTTAGGAGCTTCTTCTGGTTACTACTGGTATTTAGCTATAACACAACAAACCCAGGCACATACCATTTTTCTGCCACTTATCAAGCCAAGGTATAAACTGTATTTCTTAGTTAACTTTGCATTTCAGTGGATAGTGATAAACCTAATGATTACTATCTTATGAATTCACTCTAATTAGGGGAGGTTGCTATTGTTTAGAAGCCTCTGGGACTCTTTTCCAGTCCTTTCTCTATCTCTTGTTTCATAAAAATTACAATATTTTGTTGTGGATGCCTTTGGCCTCCTTCTGCAACTGTGTCTGTAACTAAGGGATTATATAACTTGTTATCTGACATGTGAATATGCTTGTTTTATTTTGAGCCATATTATTTTGGAAACAGCATATACTAGGGAAACATTATTGGACAAGGAGGCTTTAGATAATACAGCAAAGCTGCTATTTCAGTTTTTGTATCTGCAAAGATGGGTTGCTATCACTTGCCATTGGCTTTATGAAAATGCTGAGATATTTTGTAAGAATACTAGACAGGTATAATCAGAGACTAGGTTATATCCTAGGTCTAGGTTCTACTAGGAACTTTTAAAGGCACATCTCTCATTTAGTAATATAGAAAATAATGATATAGTGACACACAGTAAGCAAAAATGTTTGTGTCCTTCAAGTGCCAAACTTATATTTATTGAACAATTTGCACAGTGGAAGGAGCTGGTGAGACTAATGCCTTGTATAAATGTATTGCATCTCTGTGATTTCTACCAGAGATAACAGACACCGCCAGCTAAGCTCTGGCAAAAAATGAAAGATAAATTTTTAGAGGCATTGGCATGATAGTTAAAATTGAGCTGTTGTACAATACCTCTAAGGACTGGGTCAGAGGAAAACATCTTATTTAAAAAATTTCCATACTTCTAGTGTTGATTTTTTTCAGTTTATTTGGTTCTGTTGTTGAGAATTCGAGAGTAGGACACACTGGAGTTATTTTACTTAACCCTCTCACATACTATTCCTTCTCCAGTGATCATGTATTTACTGGACTGTGAGTCTACAGTAATGCTTCCAAGATACTTGAAAGTATCAGTAAGAAACATAAATTATGGTTTTGATTACATTATAGTTACTTTTGTACATGTCTATAATTGTTGGGTCCATGTAGGTAAGGTCTAGGTTTTAGTCATCACTTTGATATAACCTACTCTCCCTTAACCTCACATCCATCTGCTGACAAGTTCTGCTGATTCAACTTTCTTTAAACCTCTCCAATTCACCCTCTCTGCTCCATCTCTGTGACCCCTGTCCTCATCTCTAGTTTATTGACATGGATCCCTCACTTAGTTGCCTGGCTATTCTAATTTATTGCCCATGGTGCTGTCAAAGTGATTGCTCTCAAGTCTAAAATCCTCCAACAGAGCCCTCAAAATGTTAAAATATAAACATGGCATATGAGGCCCTTCAGGACGGCCTCTAGGCCTACTGTTCAACTCTCCACAGCCTCCATCTTATTTTATGTTTCAGTTGCCTTGAGCTCCTTGTAGTACTCCAAAAGTGACACAATCTTTCAGTTACACACTGCTCATTTTGTTACAATATCTTGTCCATCTCCCTTAACCTCCCTGCCTCACTCTTTTTCTCCCATTTAATCTTGCAAATTAATATAATCCTGGCTGGGCATGGTGGCTCATGCCTGTAATCCCAGAACTTTGGGGGGCTGGGCAGATTGCTTTAGCCCCGGAGTTTGAGACCATTAGCTAACACAGCAAAACTTCATCTCTGCAAAAAAAGAAAAAAAAAAAAAAAAGAAAATTAGCCAGGCATGAGGGCGTGTAGTCCCAGCTACTTGAGAAGCTGAGGTAGAAGGATTGCCTGAGCCCAGGAAGTCCAGATTGTCATGAGCCATGGTCATCATGATGATGCCACTGCACTCTAGCCTGTGCGACAGAGTGAGATCGCAACTCAAAACAATAACAACAACAACAACAACAACACACACACACACACACACACACACACACACACATTCCCTTAAAATGTCAAGACATTGTCCTTGATCTCCAGTGTTGGCTTCTACTAATTTCCAAACTTACTTTCACCACAGCACTTACCATGCTGAAGGGTAACTATGTCCTTACAAGTCTGGACTACTCAAGAAACATTGTTATGTCTTATCTCTGAGGACCCAGCATACTGCCTTCCACGGCTAGATGTTTAAAATATGCTCCTTGAAGGCAAGAAAAAATAAATGAAAACTATAACCTTTAAGTACCTGAAAAATTTACTTGTGTGGAAATAGTTCACATCCTGAAAATGACAAATGTCAGGTGAACAATACAAGGTGTTACTTTAGTCACCTGATGGAAATTTTGGTTGAAATAAGATAAAAACAATCATATGATCAATCACAAACCAAAATATTCAGGATAGCTGGGACAAAGCAAACTGACCATTCTTGAAATACTTTCATGAAAATATAGTCATGTTTCAAATACCTCATCCTACTCCAGAATTAAAAACAAAATACAAATAGTATCACAAAATCCAGTTCAGATAATAAAAATCTCTAAAACATGAATTTTAAGAATGGGGCAGGAAATATACATGATAGGCCTGGAGTATCTTGTAATGCCACGAAGTAAGGAAGTGCTCCAAAAATGAAAACAAAAAAA